GTCCAACACTCATTCATGTTCAAAGTCCTACAGAAAATTGGAATAGTTGGCCTCTACTTCAATTTGGTAAAAGCCATTTATGAAAACCCAACAGTGAACATAATTCTAAATGGGGAAAAACTGAAACATTGTACTCTTAGATCTGGTATAAGACAAGGATGTCCTCTATCACCAATCCAATTCAATATAGTTCTGGAATCATTCACTACGGCCATTAGACAAGAGAAAGAAATAAAAGGAATAAAAATAGGTAAAGAAGAAGTTAAATTATCATTATTTGCAGATGATATAATTTACTTGGGAGAACTAATACATTCCACCAAGAAGCTATTAGAATGAATACAGAAATTCAGTAGCATAGCAGGATACAAAGTCAATACCCAAAACTAAATAGCATTTCTCTGCACAGATAACAATCACACTGAGAGGGAAATTATAGAAACAATACCTTTTACAATAGGACTGAGAAAAATGAAATATCTCGGAATTAATCTAACTAAGAAGTCAAAGATCTTTTCAAGGAAAATCATAGTACTCTCAAAAAAGAGATCCTAGAAGATTTCAGAAAATCGAAAAATATTCCATGCTCCTGGATAGGAAAAACCAACATTGTGAAGATGGCCATACTCACAAAATTGTTGTACAGATTGAATGCAATCCCTATCAAACTACCAACAATATACCTCACAGAGCTAGAGAAATCATTCCTAAAATTTATTTGGAACTAGAAAATACCTAGAATAGCAAAGGCAATCCTGAGCAATAAAGACAAGGAAGGAGGCATTTAAATTCCTGACTTGAAATGATACTACAAGGCTACTGTGATAAAAATCAGCATGGTATGGGCTAAGAAATAGACCCGCGGATTAATGCAATACATCACAATAATACAGACGTCCCTAAGAACACACTCAACCAACTTATCTTTGACAAAGTGGCCAAACATACTCACTGGAAGAAAGATAGACTTTTTAACAAATGGTGCTGGAAAAACTGGCTCTCTACATGCCGAAACTTCACCCAGGTCTATCACCATGCACTAAGCTAAAGTCAAAATGGATTAAAGATCTAAACATTAAAACAGAAACACTATATCTCCTGGAAGAGACAGCCGGAGTAACTCTTGAAGACATAGGGGTAGGCAAAAGTTCATGAAAAAAATCAAATAGCACGGGAAATAATTGAAAGAATTAGCAACTGGGACCTGCTCTTCTTGAGAAGTTTTTGCACGTAAAAAGAAATTACCAAACCAGACAAACATGTGTAAATATTGTATATTTTCCCTAGTATATGAACTCAAAAGAAGAAATAAAAATAGAAAAGTATAATACAAGTAAAAGGAAAGTAGGATCTTGAGGACTAACTAATCAAGAGAGGGAAAGGAGAAGAGCTAGGAAAGATGACAATGTCAAGCCATACAGTTATTTGTAGAAGATGAGCAAGGCAATTATCCTGAGAATCTCAACAAGATTTTTGAATTTAGCAGTGAATTGGAAAGATTCTTACGCTGACTAACTATATATACTGTTACATGTGAACTAAGAAACCACACTGAAGATGGTAATCTGTAATACTAGTATCATTCTTGGAGTGCTTGTCATTCTGGTCTTCTGAATATGGGCTGCTTGTAATGACATGCCAGTTGCTGCTGTGCTGTCTCTCGGGTAGGTGATAGTTCAATAAGAAGGGAGTGGCGAAAGAAGGAAAGAGATAGGAAAAGGAATATTGTGGGACTGTCCTGCTTCAAGGTTGTATATGGTGAGATTTTTAGACTTATATGTAAACATAAGAAGTATATAATACTTTATGCCTATTTTAAAAATATATTCTAATTTTTAAATGTTGTTTCATCATATTATATAGGGAATTAAAGTTCAACATATCAATACTTGATGAAAAATACCTGTTCCATGTTATGCCTATGATGTTTGATATTCAGACAGATACTGAGGTTAAACGTAACAGCCTAGGTTGTTTTGTAATAACAATAAGCTTGTCCTCTGGATGATTAACAACCTAAGTTTGCAGACCAAAATTAGAGAAAAAGGAGGTCTGCAAGGAAAGCCAACATTTTGACTCTAGCCTTCCAAGATCACTTAAGACTCAGGACATATGAGAACTTGTAATGTAACCTCATGTAACTAGGTACTGTCCCAAATTTTCTGAGCAAGGAGATTATGGGCCCAAAGAGGAAAGTGATTGAAGATGTAGAGTGTGCCTAAGGAGAGTCACATGGAGAGAAAACATTCTCTCAGGCTTTCAAAGACAGCACATTGGCCAAGCAATGGCCGTGACTCATCCACATGGCTGACACTGACAAAGGTTCTACAATCTG